CCCACATGGACTAGGACCATGGGGTAGTAATCAGTGGGCCATCATTAATGGAAAGAGTGAACAGTACCAAATCCAGGACAGATCCTTGCACAATCTCACTTAATACATCCTTCATGTGTAAAGTGAGCCACTGATAGCTGCTCTGGGTATAGTTTTTCAACTAGTTGTGGACCCACATTGTAGTATTTTTCTAGTTTGCTTAAGAGGGTGTTATATGCGACTGGCAAAGGCAGCTTACTTAAGTCCAGATATATCTTCTGTTTCTTTCCTATCCTAAAGGCCTGTTACTGTGTTGCAGAGTGTGATTTGTTCTTGACAAATCTGTATTTGCTGGGCTTATACTGTATTTACTTGAATCTAAGATGACCCTAAATTTAAGATTTAATTTTTTTATATTTAAGATATAAATTTGTTATAATTTTCCTGTATAGAATTTAAGTATTGGGGTTTCAGGTTTTTTGGTTGTACCTATGTTGGTCAAAGGACATAGGCAGGCAAGCTTCTTTGGGTAGATGTGATATCTTTTATAGCTATCAGAATAGCAGATGCTCTCTATGCCTGAAGAAGGGTGCTTGTGCCCAAAAGCTTGCAAATAACTTTATCCAACTACTCAGTTGGTCTAATAAAAGATATCACATCTACCCAAAGAAGCTTGCCAGTATTGGGGTTTGTCTTTTAATTCATCCTCCCTCACTGCTGCAGGGGGTAGGTAGGTGGTGTGGCTAGGTCAAGCAGCTTGACACCTGCTTGTGCCTGCCCCCTTACCATCTGCCCCGTGCCTGCCCCTCACAGCCTTAGTCCCTTCTTCCCCAGACTCTTCTTCCCCATTCCTCCTCCCACTGTCTGCTGCTTTCTGCCCCCAGCCTCAGCTCTTCACTCCCTTCCCACCCCAACTCCCCTTACCCTTTCTTTGCCAGGAGGCTCTGCCCCTAGTCTAGGCAGAGAGATGAAGCACAACCCCAGGCCAACCCTTGTAGCAGCCATGTGGGCTGTGCACTGCTGCTATAGTGCTCCAGGCTGCAGAACGCATGGAGCCTGCCAGCATGGAGCAAGGGTAAAGTGGGAAGGGAGAGGGGAAGATGGGAGAGCAGAGGCTGTGTGGGGTGGGAAGTGTGGGGGTAGAGGCTGTAGAGGGGAGATTGCAGGGTGCAAAGGTTGCAGGGGGTAAATACAGTAATATTCTAATCTTTTAGGTGCTTACTAATAGATGTTTATTGGTTCCAGGAATGGAAGATAAGCTGACTAGCCTATATATAATCTGTTCAGGCCATCTGTTTTTCCCTTTTGAAAAGATAGATGCTATGTTTGCTTTTCCAGTTCTTTAGAACCTCACACATCTTCCAAGAGTTCTCAAAGAAAGTCACCAATTATCCAGCTTTCTAAGTACTCAGTGGTGAAGTTCCTTAGGTTCAGTTGACCTGAAAAAAACTAGGCTTTCAAATAATCTTTTAACTTGTTCCTTCTCTTTTCTAACTCAAGTTTTTAATATCTTGTTACTGATGTGAACTATAATCATCTGGTCATAGTAATGTTTTTTAGTAAAGCACAAAAGACATTAAATACTTTGGACTCCTTAGCACCATTACTAGTCTTTTCTCCTCATTGAGTAGCGGACCGTTTCCTTTTTCTTACTACTATTAGAAACCTAGAATGTTTTCTTATTAGCTTTTACATCCCATGCTGGCTGTACCCATTTCTGTGCCTTGGCCTTTGTGATCTTGTTGGTACAAACTCATCTTGAACATTGTATTCATCCTGAGTGATTTGACTTAGTTTTCATTTTTTGTTAAATTCCTTTTTGAGTTTCAGGTCATTCAGTAGCTCACAACTTATCCAGTTTGGCCTTACGTTTCATCTGCACTAGAATAGTTTGTGTGCGTGCCAGTGAAACAACCAAATCTCTTGGATATCTTTTTTCCTTAAACTTGTTTCTCATGGGATCTTACCTGCCAGTTTTCTGTGTTTACTGAAGCCTGGTTCTTGGAGACCATTATCTTTAGTCTGCTGTTTTCTCTTTTCTCATAAGAATTGTGAACTCTACCATATTATGAAAGACAACCCAAGTTATCTTCCACCTTCATTTTCGTAACTAGATCATTTGTTGGTCAGAATCAAATCTAGAAGTGCCTCCCCTCTAGCGGTTTTCTTCACCTTCTGTAACAAGAAGTTGTATCTGATATATTACAAAACCTTTGATAGTGTCCTATTATATTGCTTTCCCAACAGATGTCTGGGTAGTAAAAGCCCTTGATTACCACCAGCAGCTGTACTTTCCCTGGTTCTGTTAATTGATCAAAAAAGCTTCATTCACTGGATATTCTTCCTTTAATATTCTATAGTAGGTGGTGACATTTTCCTGTACCTTTTTCCTTTCAACTTGACCCAGAGTCTTTAAACAGAACTGCTTTCTGCTACATTCTGGACCTCAAAGCAATGGACACATTTTTGATGTGCAAGTTAAACACCTCTTCCCTTTTTCCCCTGGCTGTTCTTCCTGAATATGCTGTACCCTTCTATACCTATATTCGAGTCAGATGAAATATTCTACCAAGTCTTTCTGATGCCAGCTGAGTCATAATTTCGGTTATGTTTTAGGATGGGGGGCAACATTTTTGGCAGTCATGCCGCAAATTAGCCCTGCATCCTTCCCAAGTGCTACTCTGATCCCCTTCCTCACCCTGATCTGCTGCTCTACTTTCTGTTCCCTGCTCTGTGCTCCCAGCCTGATCTTCTGCTCTGCTTTCTGATTCTTTCCCTGTGCCCCTGCTTCATCTCTTCCTCTGCTTTCAGCTTCCTGCCCTATTAGCTGTTGTGCTGCCTGTCCCCTCCTTGATATGCCCTGTAACACATACACACAGCCTGCCTATGGCCCTCATGCTACAGATTAGCCACCCGTGTTCTAGGATTTTAATTTTCTCCTGTTCATTCCTCATATGTTTTCCATTAGCAAATAAACTTCAAAGATGTTCAGCAGATTGACACATTGTTTTTCCTCTTGACCATCTTATGAGCCTATTATGATTATATCCTTCGTGGTTTGTGGTCCTTTGTCTATACCACTGTTGTTTATACTTACCTGTGGGCTTATGTTAATAGTTCCATTAGATATACTTTAAAAGCGTCCTCACTAGGTAAGCAAGTTTGAGAGCAAAGATGCTCTTCCATTCCTTGTTACATGTACCCAGTTTCTATTCAACAGTCCTACTTCTTGGACTGGTGGGCTATGGGCTGCACACAGCACTTGAGGGGTTCAGCTGAAATCCCTAGCTCCCAGTCTGTGCACCGTTTCCTCCATTACTCTCCTGCACTCCCTCCTCCAGCTTCCAGTAACTGCCCTTTTTGCTGGAGGCAGAGCTAGGTAGAACAGCCCATGGAACTGAGGGATTCCTTGCCTGAGGGACTTGGGGTGACCTAGGGTGCTGGTGTAACTCAGTGGACAGGGGGTGCCTAGGGTGTGGCAGGGCTCACATGACCAGTCAGAAATTGGACCAATCAAAAGCCCTGATCTAAGCAACCAAAGCTCTCCCAGTAACACCATTTGTGCAGGATATGCCTAGCCTTTACCCTTGACCAGAAAGTTAAAGAGAACATCAACTGAGCCCCCAACTCCTTCACTCTTAGAGCCTTGTAGTTCTGGTGTGCTTAAGGACTGATGGTATTGTTAATGTCCTTTAGGGTGAGCAGTATTGGATAGTGGTCAAAGGGATGAATGAGTTTAAGCAACCTGTCCGTAATGTCCCTGTTTAGGGCTTCTTACAGATAGCATCGCTTTCTGGATATCAAGTTAGGTCAGCAGATAGATGCTTTCATCCACCTCCAAAAAGAGTCTTGAAATACCATGACTTTTCATTTTCTTTTGGGAGTGGTGGCCAGGAACTTCCCAGCCTTTGGGACATGACTCTTTTTTTGACACCTTTCATTCCTTGTTCATTGCCAGGACAGTTCTTCCACAGATGGTAGTTGGTAGTTCTACTGCCAGAGGTAGCCAGCATCTTGTTCCCTTCTTGCAAAGTATCTAGTTTTTCCTCCTTTGCTGGTGGCTGCTGCAGTCCTCTCTAGCCAGCTAGCTTCCTCATCCTTGGAGGTCTCCAGGTGACCTGGACTGAGTTCCCAGATGCTTCTCAGCTGTCTCTTCCTGTAGCTCTCCCACCATTTTCTGAGGGATTCCATCAGCAGATCTCTCTCACATTAGATGGTTTCCCCTGCATGAACTACCTTATCAGAAATATGTAGGCAGGTTTCATTCCCTGTAAATCTGGACCAGAACCTCACAGAAGCTTTAGAATCTGGTTACAGGAAGAGCTAGCAGTAGAGCTAGCTTTGGCAATGCAGCATTGACCAGCTGCTGTTCACTGTTGTCAAACTTTGTCTTAAAGCTTCCTTTTGAAACTACATTATTTGCTAGCAAATGTATGTAGGAATTAATTATCAGAATGGCTCATGTATGTTTAGCATCTGTTGCAATTGTTGTGCAGATGTCTTTTGATACATTAACTAGCTATTGATCATTTTCAGACTTCTCTTCTGATGTTGATAATGGGAGAGTTGGAACCTTCAGAGGGTAAAATTAAGCACAGTGGAAGGATTTCCTTTTCCCCTCAAGTGTCCTGGATCATGCCTGGAACTATCAAAGAAAACATCATCTTTGGTGTGTCCTATGATGAGTACAGATATAAGAGTGTCATCAAGGCCTGTCAACTTGAAGAGGTCAGTGTTGTATGATAATTCATTCTCTTATAATCTATGTGTAGAGACTAACTAAGCAAGACATCCTACAGTCATGACGGAGTCAAAGACTGATTCAGTTCAACACCATGAATTCTGTGACTTTCCAAACAAACCCATTGGTAAAAACTCTGAGCAGATGCTGCAGGTTCTAGATTCAGACCCCACAGGGCTGTCTCAGGCATTACAAGGCGTGTCTTCCAGGGGAGTTTTTCTATGACCTTTTTTTAAGAGTTGGTCAGAAGTTTTCTTTTCAACTTTTTCTTTTTAACTAAAATATTTTGTGGAAACAGAACTTCCATGAAAAATATATTTCCCTTTACATTTTGAAAGGTTTCTTAAACATCTCAAAGTTGAAAAAATATTCAGATTAAAAATGAAAATATTCCTTCCAAAAACTTGAAGAATTTAAAGGAAAATATGAGGAAAACAGCCTTTTTATGTTTTTCAAAAATATTTACATATTACTGCAGGATCCAGCTGTTATTTGATACAGTGAAGTAGGCTCCATACTGGACAATTTTTTTTCTCCTACCAGAACATGGTTTCAAATGAGTGTTTTTATAGTACAGTGAAATCACAAAAGTATTATACTCGAGCATGGCTATGTTTAAATTTTTAAATCTTTTCACACCTACTGCTTTGTTAAGATCACGCCCTTACACTTTAATATATAGGTCAAAACAATAAATGTTTAAACTTGCCTAGCAAAATCTAGGCCATACAGCAAAAGTTATTTATTTTATCTCCAGTCAAGTGAAAAAGCAATAGCTAGGCTGTTTAAAAATAAGATTCACTGAGTACAATTAAATGATAAAGTAATCTTTTTTGTGTGCTTAGAGGAAAAGTATTTTAGACCATTGCTACTCCAAGTACAGGCAGAGTTTTGATTGTGGCTAGGTAGCTTCTTTGGAACCTTTTGTAGTAGCAAACATGACACTGCTAGACTGTATGTTACAGTGTGATCCCTGGGTCTAGCTGTAAAATCTATAATTAAGCCCACAGATCCAAGAACCAAAAAGCTGCTGCAATTCCAAACTCTATTTCTTTCCAAAGGGAAAGCTACTTATTTCATGCACAAAGACTAGCTGTTCTTAGACTGAAAGGAAGTTTAAAAGTACTGTTCAGCCTCGCTGCTGTTGGCTATTCTGCCCTCTCTGGTCTGATGTAAAAGAAAGATCCACTGTGGGGGAGAGAGGAAAGGGGAGTGGAGAGAAGATAGAAGGGGATGATTTTGTAGACTGAGCCATTGGGAGTGAGGTGAGAAGTCTGGCAGGACAAGGAAAAGTGTTATTTAATCATTCCCCTCAGGAGTGCAAGTTACCACTCTGGCTAGGGACAGACATTCCAAAAGCCTGAGCCTGAATTGATTCAGTCTTTGCAGGTTAGCTTAACCTGCAAAGCTTGAACCAACGTGGAGGTGGATAGACATTTCCTTTTTATTCCAGTAATCATAGAATCATAGGCACATGCCTGAAGTGGCTCAGGCTAGAAGACTGGGGGCGCTAGAGCAGCCCTCCATTCCAATTTACAGTGCTGAGCTGAAGGGGGGCACATGGCCAGACCCTGTCAGGGTGCTCTGATTAGGGAGGGGTCCCCTGCTCCTGACCAGGAGGGAGCCAGTAGGGAGTTGATAACAAAACATTGAGTTACACAGCTGGGAGTTACACAGGCAGTTGTTAGCATTTAGCAACCCATCAACAAAACAAAAGGATCTCTCATTAGTTCAAGCTCTTCTTAAACAACTTTTTTCCAAGGAAGGAATGGAGGGACATTACCAGCTACCTATTTATTAGCTCCAAAAAAGCCTTAAGCCAACACTGTCCTGTCTGCCTTTGTCTTTTCTCCCACAGCACAGACTATAGCCAGCATGTGGTATGCTAGCTAATGCTGAGAGGTGTCTGTGTAAGGCAGAGGGGAGGGGGGAATCTCTGCTTGAGGAGGGAGTGGTGAGGGGGTGGGGAGGAGCAGGAGCAAACCAGGCAGACAGTGTTGTATCTGCAGTCTCTTTGGGAGCTGCAGCCAGGGAGCAGAGGAGAGGGGCCAGCCCTGCTGGGCTGGAGCAGAGAGCAGAGCCCCACCCGGGGTTGTGAAGCATCTGGAATGCTGGAGGATTCCAATTTAACTTAAATCAGGAAGGGGTCTGGGACAGACATTGCATAAACTGGTTTGACCCAAATCAGTTAAGTCTGATACTACATTCAATCAGGTTTATCTCAAACTGGTTTCAGCCATTTTCAGACTGGTTTATGTGCAATGAACTTCTGTTCTGTTACAGGTTTAAATCAGTTTCTGATTATTTAAACTAGTTTGTGTGTAATGTATCCCTAGCTTCTGTGAACAGGATGCTCGGGTGAACTATGTTCAGGTGACAGCGTAGCGAGGCAC